ATGCTTGGTGCCGACCCCACGGAGATATTGGCGATTTCCCTTGACATTGGCCCGGTGTCGCTAACCGTCGTGAACATCTACATTCCTCCAATCTCCAGTTGTCCCCCTGGTTTCACCGCCTCCATTGCTCCCTACTCACCTTCTGGAGACAGCTTGGTGTTAGGTGATTTCAATGCCCACAACGACCTATGGTGCTCCTACCTGGCGGCCGATTCCCGAGAAAAAGCCATGGCCGATGCATTAGAACAGGCTCCCTTCGCAGTCCTCAACAAGGACAGCCCAACGCGGCTTCCACCCAACGGTGCCCCCAGCTCTCCCGATGTTTCCCTTGCCAGTCTCAGCCTGATAGCCTCCACCACCTGGAGCACGTAAATCAGCCTAGGGATAGATCACCTTCCCATAGTGCTCGAATTGGCCACCCCTGCCGACCGTATCAAGGCTCCAAACAGGCATTTTATCAACTTCACGAGAGCTGACTGGGCAGCGTTTACAGCCGAATGCGAAGCTGGAACCGATCTGCTACCGCCCCCCACCCGTATCCACATGGTGGAGAGGGCCCTTCGGACCCCTGATCCAACAAGGGCTACCAACCAACCCCATCCAACCGTGAGGGCGAAACGCTCATAGCTCCTCATGATCAAAATTAGGTATTTTTACCAGTTTTTGACTTCCCTAAAACGAGATATAAATGCTCTGGTGAAAATAGAAGAACTTACTTTTCTATGTATATATGAGATCGTTTTCACTTTATTTTTTTTTACTTCTAGTCACCGTTGTTTGACGGAGTGACAGAATATATCCTTCGATGTTTTTAAACGTGATTATCTTCGGTTTGTTCCGTGTCAAATTTTTATATTCTATAATTCTGTTCTATATGTTGAAAATATGTGCAAGGGATTCACTAACTGCGTTACAGATAAAGCTTATGACATTTCGCAACATTCCATATACAGTCGGTAATTTCGGCCTAGTAAAACAGCGTGATGTCCCGTAAGATTCACTTACTTTTATGACACAAAACGCAATTGATTTGTAAGACAACATTTTGTAAACTGTGTATGTTCTTGACTTCTCGACAATAATGTGTTGTGTTCTACGTACACTTACCTCGATTTCAAAATAAATCTTTCTGTTCTGTGAACGCATATAATTAGCTTCCGGTCTTTATTAATTATTTTTATTGTACAACATGCACAAACAAAGTTTAATTCCGTAGCCTTTAATAGCGCGGGAAATTCTTTGGATATCAACAAACGTTGGATTTGGCGCAATTCCGCCCTCATTTATCCCAGTATACTGAGGTGAACGGAATTCATTTCTAGTAAACAGCATTTTGCGTTTCAAGTCCACCCAATGAACAACACAGACAGCCTAAGATATGTGGTAAATCCCTCACTCAAAATTTGATTTTCATATCTCATAATCTCTGGAATTCTTTAAAAGAAACCTCGGGTCAGGTCAGGTTTATTGTGGGAAATATAGGTAACTGCCTTCCAACTCCCTGTTGGTACAGAACAGCTATGAAGCACATTGCTTCAGCAGGGAATTTCAAAGGGGTGGCCATGCCAATAAATTAAACTGCGTAAAATGGACAGACAATGAAGAAACTCCTTAGGCATTGTTCGGAAATTCTAGAATTTTGAATGCTGTTTAAAGGATTTAAGGCTAAAATCTATTGATCGTGGGGAAAAGTATGTACGAAACATGATGGCCTGCGGCTGTGAATATTTTCAGCATGTCAAGATGTGTCCATCACGGTTTTTATCAGTGTCCTAAGGATCACTATAACGTCACCTAAGTGTCGGAGATGCACCCAGCATACGTCCTTCCTAGTTACCGAGTCTACCGAAAAGGTGACGAAACAGAGGGGTCCGCCACGATCTCAGCAGTCGGTTATGGACCACTGTCAGGAAAGATTTTACAGGGCCACGGAGCCTAGGTCCACAAGGTTCGGTGGAGGCGATGATTTACGCAACCAATGCAGATCGCACAAATATGAAGTGGAGTTTGGTAGTAATTTTAAACAAATACTACTGAAAAATAGTGAGAAGAACGCAAAAATGTTTACATATTTAAAGTAATTGTAAACTTCGTGTTTACTATAGTTTTATTATTTCAAAAACGTAAAAATATTTAAAATTATCACTTTTTTGTTTTTTTCACTGCATTTTGACTTCTGCAACAGTGACTAAATTGAGAGAAGCCACTGAACATGAATGCATCCAAATACCAAGGGAATTATTTCATGGTATGTGCGATTTAATTGCCTAGCGTTGGCAGCAGTGTCATGATCAAAATATACGTCAGGTTGAGAGCATTTAGTGAAACAAAAACAAGAAAATGATACTTGTAAGTATCTTAACATTTATTTGGGAATTTGGAATTGATATTTTTTAGCGCCAGGAAGGCACGGTCCAAACAAAATTAGTTTCGTTAAAATAAAAGAAGCATTTGACAATGTGCACAGATAAACGTACAAATTTGCAACAATTTCAGCAGAAATTGTCCTAATTGGGCAATATTCGGCGATGTTTTGCAATTAATTATGAACTGAAAAATAAAAAAATAAAAAATAAATAAATAAAATAAAGCTACTACAATGAAGATGAAGACAGAGTTCAATGTGCCTCTATTTCCAAAAAACGTGTAGGAGAAAAAAGCTGCTTAGGAAAATAGGACAGAGCAGTAGGAATTCTGATTATGGTTTGTAGCCAACGAAACGACAGTCGTTTAGACTGAGTACATCCACGTAGCTTCGTTTGATTAAGCGGTGATTAATGGAGATATCTAGGTTTCCGGGGGTCACGAGGCAAAAAAAAATATATTTTCAAAAGGATCTCCTAAATTCACGATGGTCCTTTCTCGGAGTAATGGGGAAAGCTGCTCGGAAACCATGAAGAGAATAAAAGGTTAATAGAATCAGTGTTAAGATAAATGTGCAGTCTTCGCTTTAAAGCAGACAGTCTAGTTAACGACCTAATTTCAATTGGCAAGTTATTTCAAAGAAAGTTATATCTGGAAGCAATAAACAATGAGCGTTGAAGGAGGAGGATGCAAAAGGAGGTATAACAAGTGCCGAGTTTCTTAGGTTGTATTGGACGGCCGATGGGGGTAATGTCAGAAAGCTTGGGAAGATTTGTGCTATTATTAAGGCCGAAAGGAGACAAAGGCTGCTTCCAATCTCCTGACCCGAGGAAATATTAGTTTCGTTAACTGACATCTATTTTGGCAAATGTCGGGTAAAGCAGTTTTTTGTGGAATGTCTTTGGACGCTTTCAATTTTTGAACGGCTAAATTCGTTCATAATTATAAGGTTTATTTGTAAAGCATATACTCGGTGCCGTCAAAAACCCCGGAAGGCAGGAAAAAACCTAACCCAGGCCCCTTCTTTTGCAGTCAATATTGGCTTTGTTTTGGTCTTTTGCTTGGTCAATAGTGCGCGAAAAAAGGAGTTTGTTTTAAAAGAAAAAAGCCTGACTTCTAAGGTCCAATACTGGCACAACATGAAATAAAATAGCCATGCATAAAATGTGTTACTGTTTCATAGTAAGAATATTTTGGGTCTGGACAAATTGTCATGTCCTTTAACTAAGGTGGATTTAGCCGCGGTCAGTTTGACGGCGAAAATAATCAGCTAAGGGCATCGCATCATCCGTTTGTATGGATTTGCTG